GGAGGGTTTAAGAAAATCGCAACTTAAGGCTATGCAAAATCCGCATTCCTATTTTCCTCGCGCATTTCAGTCCGTGACGTCACAGCCAGGCAGGCTTGAAGTTCGAGCAGGCAGATCAGAAAAGAGACAATGTAGCACACTCGCTGCGTACTGCTGGGCAGGTCTTGGAGCGAACCTTTGGAACATTCATTTCGCAACATCGCGCTTCCTGTATTTACATAAAAAACAAAATCTCCTGTACGGACTGTGAAGCCGTGTTTGCGACTGGCGCCCCCTTTTTTTGAGTGTGGTCACTAGATACTTTCAAATTGGAAAAAAAACAAAAAAACAGTGATGATTAAAAATAAAGATTTAACATTTACGAAAAAAATAGCATAATATAGTTTGGTTTAATAGATTAGGGAAGTATATTGGTATAGAGCCAATTTTGAGGCAAATTGAAACTACCAAACAACGACGGAATTCCCAATCAATGTTCCAGGTCGTTTAAAGCATGTTTTAACTTCGCTTACCGGGAAGCTTGCCGCGGAAGACAAAAAGCCGTTGAAGCACTAATCTAACGAATGCTTCTAGACCTATTAAAAGCAACAACTCCGGCCATCCCTTTTTTTAGACGCTTAGCTTTATTGTTTTTCAGAATATGTGACAACAGTAGTCGATTTTTATACACTCTCACGGAGGGACTAAGTTCGAGCATTTTGTTATTTCTATTTAGTGGCGACTCCATGTACATTCAGGATAAGTAATTCTCAAAAAAATTGAAACTGTGGTAGAAGCAACTTCTTCGGCGAAGCGCTTTCTTATAAAGATGTAGGGACATGTTCTTCTGCTTTAAGCACGAGTAATGGGGCTGTAGTCGACATGCCACTGTACAACGCCGATGGACACTGAAACCAGAGACAAGAGGTCAGTGAATGCCGGTATTATGATCCTTTTTTACGGGTGGTGAGACATTAAAGGGCTCTTTCGCGTTAAAGTTCAGTAACATGATGTATGCAAAAGCCACTTCAGTTCATCTTAAACAAAAACAAAAAAAAAATTGTCTTTTTAAAATATTGGCAGTTTAACATTTTAAACCCTTGCTCCAAAAGTATTAAACAAAACTGGTCCGCCAAATGCCTAAAATAAGAGGCTTTTCGTGAAACATTCGTGAACGCATTAGGCGCCGGAGAAAGTGAGCTATTTGCGTTAAGTCCTTATTTCAAACCCTTTTTGTTCACGCGTTCCCCTATTAAAAAGTACGGCAAAAGAGCCAAAGCTCGCACCTTATCTCTCGCTCCTCGAAACGTTTCCAGATGCCTGTCGCTGACAACGGACACATGACGAACGCACACGGAATGACTGAAGTATGCCGTCTTCAACATTTGGAATCGTTTGCACAATGATACGATTGTGATCTTGTGTTTATTGGGAACATGCATGCAGGTCGAAGAAAGCTCATCAGGTTTATAAAAACGAATTGCATTTGCGTGCGATACGGGATACTGCATGTCTGACGGAGATAATCACACGTATGGAGATCTGCTAAAAATACAGCGAGAAAAGCATCTGTTTAGAGCTTGATATCCCAGCAGCGTCGGGCCCTCCTTCTGAGTTTCCAGTTAACGTGCATTGTAAGGAAATATCAATTATTTGGACTCTAACATGAGCGGTTCTAGATCCCAAACTTCGTTTCTCAGGCTCCCCATAGGGGTGTGTGTTTCGTACCTGCGTTGTAATCATAAAACGCTAAAACAATATCCTACTCATTCTTCGGTTTTAAGCGAGACCCCAAACGAGCTTGACTGAGAAGGAACGCTTATCTGTGCCACTAGGTGATTTGAGTTTACACTTACCCCGATTGTAGAAGGTAAGGAGGCCAAAATTACCTTTCCTAGTCAGTGTCAAGCTAGCTCACAAAGGAACGTTCTAGGTCGAATGCTTCAGATCATCATCATCATCATTTATTATTCCTTGAAGGCCCACGGGGCATTACACAAGGGAGTGAACACTTAAAAAACAAACAAGTAACAAAACTATTTATCTACGAAAACACGCTGTAATCTAGTTATGGGTTAGAAAAAATAAGCTAACGGCTGCAGAAAATCTCTTAGTGTCAGATAAGGTAACAATTACGTCAGACAGTGAGTTCCAGTCGTCAATGGCCAATGGTAAAGTAGACATTTGGTGAGTGACGGTTGACGATGAAATCGGACGGAGTTTACAAGAATGGTCGAGACGAGGGAAAATGCGGTAAGGAGGTGATAACAAGCTTTGTCTGAGATGACTGTTGTAATAAAAGATCCGATGAAGAAGAGAAAGACCAGACACCCTGCGGCGGTGGGAAAGAGTGTCAAGGTTAGCTGATTGGCGAAGTCCTGATATGCTTGCGTATGGGGAATAGTCGGAATAAATAAAACGGAGGGCCCTGCTTTGAACGGATTCCAGGTTGTTAGTTAGGTACGCCTGCCACGGTGACCATATGGAAGAAGCGAATTCTAGTTTAGTTCTGACCAAGGTAGTATAAGCTAGTTGTTTTACGGTGGATGTAGCTTGTCTGAGGTTACGGCGAAGAAATCCGAGAGTGCGGTTAGCATCGGCGATGACAGTTGTTATATGAGTGGTCCATGACAGTCAGATGTCAGATGAATTCCTAGATATTTATACGATGAACAAGCAGTTACTGGGATGCCAGAAAAGTGGTAAGAGGAGGATAGAACATGTGAACTGCGGGAAAAAGATAGCGATTTACATTTATTATAGTTTAAAGCCATTTGCCATTTATGACACCACTGAATTATAAGTTAGAGATCGTTTTGCAAGGTTAGCTGATCGTGGCGTGAATGAATGGGTCTATATATGACACAGTCATCGGCGAACAAACGTACTTCAGAAGTGATGCCATGGTGGAGATCATTAATGTAGATTAAAAAAAGAAGGGGGCCAAGAACACTTCCCTGAGGGACGCCAGACGTTACTGCGCTTGTGGTAGATTTTATATTGTTAATAGAAGTGTAATGTGTGCGATTAGTAAGGAATTCAGAAATCCAATTGACTACTGAGGGGTGAAGATTAATATTTCTTAGTTTCATTAAAAGACGTTGATGAGTGTAGCTAGATAAGGAGCCGAGCGCGGCTTATCTAGCTTATCTAGCGTATTCAAGAGACCCTTTCGTTGCCATGGTGATGGGGAGCATAGCGGACGTATTTTCCCATGTGGAAGAAGACAGTGGTGTGTCCAGATCATGCGCATGCTTCGGCTCTTTCGCCGTGCTATGAGTGGGAGGAACACGAACAAAAAGAAAAGTGCGAAATAAAGATGTAACGTAGATAACTAATGTTATCCAATGCCTTATATATTTGCGCTCTTTACACGTATGTTTTTAACTCGGAATTCAGGCTTTTCTTTTTTTTTTTTTCGGCGACATTAGTCTAATTTACTGATGTATCAAATGCTTACTTTGGAATAGTTTGTTTTAAATCATAAAACATCTAAGTTTTCTGAGAAGAAATAACGTTTAGTTGAATATGATATGAAACTGCATTCGTTTGTTTTACAGATTGGAATCTAAGTATCATATGTAAGTTTTACACGAAGAATCAAAATGAACGTGCTTGTATGAAAACGGGAATACCCTTAAGAATAAGATAAATGTGTGATACATTATTTTCAAAGACACTTATGTCTATAGAGCTAATGGTACAAAGCAGTTTTCAAGGGTTTATCATATAAAGCGGAGATGCCAGTCTGTGTTGACGAAAAAGGTCTTTATAAACGATCAACTGAATTTAGCTATTCGTATTTAATTCTGATAATATTGAAGGATTGTGGCAACAGTGTGCCTGCTCCTTTGCTTTTGATATGTTTCTTTTGATTTTCATGCCTTTAACGAGCTTTTACAGCCTAATAAGTTAGATTTTCAATGCTGCCAAAGGACGCCCCTTGATTTTGAGCAGCCTGCTTTGTACGATAATTTTTATTTGGCTCCTTAAACTCTCCTAAGGAAGGCAAAATTTCAGCTTACACAGTCTTTGGGATCTGTGGCTGAAGGATAGTGGTCCCTAAGCCTAATAAAATCGCTCTATTGAGACTCCCTGGCGTCGCCTTTTTAGGACAGGCAGTCAATGTAAAAAAGAAGCGTCAGAACATACGAAAATATATTTTTTCGATAAAATGAACGTAAGAAAACGCTCCGACTGCGGTACGAATTTCCAAAGACTTGTTTCCGTCTGCAATCATAACCGCACAAGCGGAACACTCATTAAAACATTTTGAAAAAAAAAAAAAAAAAGCAAAGAAAACGAACACAAACGGAAAGATCTCAGAGACGTTCGTCGATATCCGATTTTAGAGCCGATCGCTGCGATTGTGTCCTTTATTTTTCGAAGGTTATTTTCAGCCCTGCTCCATTTACCGTTCCCCAGAACCTGATGTTTTCCGTTCCCGTCTGCACGAGCATCGAACCGACGCGACGAACCCGTTCGCGCGCCAAAAACCCTGACCGAGCGAGACGTATTCAGACGGGCTTTCAAATCAGCCGTGCTGAAAAGAAAAAGAACAAAGATTAGTCGAAAGAGATCTGACACCTAGCTTCAACAACCGGCGCCATCCCCTACTCGCGTATATTTAGTAGCCTAGAAAGGGGAGAGGGGACGAACACCAGTAATGGGAATCGGGCGCGTGTTTGTTGTTTCCGTCCAGAGCCGGTGTCGTGTGCGAGAAGGAGTGGGGAGACAGGTAATCGAGCGGGCCCCGAGGCAGACCCTTGAAAGCTCGCCCAGAAAGGGGGCCTGGCAGGGCACGGCCGAGCGACTTTCGGCCATTGTTCCGGTCTCGCCCGCGGAACTGGAGGTCGGGGAAACGAAGGTGAGAGGAAAGGTTCGGGGTGAGGGTGTCTCTGATTAGCCGGGAAGGGGAGCCTCCTCTCCGCTCTTGGAGCGAATGGGGTCAGTCCCCGCAACACCCCCGCTTATAAGCCCGTTGTCGCCGATCACTGCGGTTCTTGTGCTGCCGAGGACTGTTTCGGAAACAAGCGAGAACGACGTCGGGGCCAGATTTCGTCATGAAGCCAGCTGTGAGTGGGCAATTACTGAGTGTTCCCATCAGCCGCGTAGATCTGCGAACTCGATCGTTTATTTTCCTCCGCAGAGCGCTTGGACATCCGACCTCTGTTACCCTGATTATAACGATCATCACTGTTAATGCAAAAGCTTCAAATTTTCGCACGAACATCTTTTTTTTTTTTTTCTTTTTTATCCACCCCTGGAGGTCCGCGAAATTCTTTCCGCTCACCATAGCAGTTGGCTCTCCGGGTGCTCCGCGGTAAAGTGTACGCAGATATATTTTCGGACAGTGTATTATGTTAAAGTCAAGTTTAGATGAACTAGTCAGCGCTCGAGATTTTTACACTTGGACGATCAGCTGTTTTTAATATATTGTTTTATTTATTTCACAGGCGGGATAGGAAGAGGGAACGTTTCATAATGTTCAAAACATTATTCATTTTTTAAGCGTTATTATTAATATAGCATCGACATCAGGTGAACCACAAGAGTTCCTTGACGAACACAGGATGCTGCGTACTACACCGTGTTGTCACGCCGGTCAGCTTGGCGCCTGTGTCGACTGCTCTTGCTTCCCAGGAGTCAATCCATCCGTTTTAACACTCCCCCCCTCCCCTCCCCCCCCCCCCCCCCCCCTTACCCGGACAGTGTCAGACCCTGCTGCAACATTCCAATTCCTTTCCGGCTAACTTCACCTCTTAACGAGTGCCGAAATAGCTAGGGCCTCTGAAGCTGTCTTCGAATGGGCGAGACAAAACTCACTACAGGCAGATAGCAGAAACAACCTGAGCTGTACTGAGAACACCAATCACTGGCCTTCCTGCCCATGAGGTTAGCCAAGGTGAAGAGCGATCAAAAACATGCCCCCGTGGTAACGCAGTCATATAAAAAAAAAAAAAAAAAAAAAAAGCGACGTTCGTTTCTGCTGCCATTGAGCCTGCACGGCAATTAGGCCATGGTACAGATCAGCCCCCTCATTTGCTAACGATTAAAGGAATATGATTGATGGTTTTTCCGAGTGAGTATCTACTTCTGAGGGATAATAAACCAAACGAAATGCTTACTATTACTAGGGTAGAGGAGGAACCTACTCTACCGTGCAACTCCCTAGTCCGGCAAACCTAAAAATAAGACCGCGCTCATTTGCGTTCCGGGAAACGCTAGTGTGTCCTTATTTCACTGCAGGAAGTTCCGTAACCAACAGAATAGTAACGGAAGAGGGATAAAACAAGCGGATTATCGAGGCGGGTTTGTTCTAACTCACCGGGAGATCCTCATTTGAAGTCGTGCTTGATAGAGATCAGCTGTTTCAAGAGTAAGCTAGGCACGCGTCGTTCAATAGGGTCATTGATGTGTAGCGTCTCCTTCCTCCTTCCCTCTCCTTTTTACTGCACACTTTATGTTGTTACTTTAAGATGTCGATAGCAGGTACAGTGAGCAAGCACAATTTTTGAGTAGGGCTGGGCGTCGATTAAAACTTTTAACCCGATTAATCGCCACCATTTAATCGATTAATTAATCGATTAGTCGGTCTCGTCCATTTTCATGCATAATAATAGTGCTTAAAAATAAAAATTGCATCCTGTTTCTTCTTTTCTTTTTCTTTTTTCTGAAAATGTGGTAAACGACGCAGTAATTTTAATTATGAATCAACTTCGATGTCCAGTTGAGAACAGTTCAAAAACACTCACACTCACAGATTACTACTTGAGCTCCATGAGACAAAAATGTTCGTTGATATTCTCCGGGATGGGCGGCTTCCTTTGATTACTCACAATATAATCTCTGCTGCACTAAACGGACACTCGCACGTCATTGAAATCGCTGGGACATGTGAAAACTTTCTGCACTTGTATGAAGCTACATATCTCCCCTTTACAGTTTACCGTAAGCTAATATTTCACCTAAAGTTTTCACTTCATATATGTGTGGTCGTTCATGTCTGCTTGGTGAAAGCATTTAATTTTTTCAAATTCTGGTTCGTCAAATTTTTACCGGTTAACCGGTTAGGCAAATTAATCGCGATTAAAGCATTAATCGATTAATCGCTAGGTTAATCGATCAAATGCCCAGACCTATTTTTGAGTGTTTCTGTTTTTGCTATATAGTATAGAATGATATTGATACGCACCAAATTTCGCCCAGTCCAAGTAATCTGAAGCGTCTGCTCTCCCGCAAAGCACTTGGAAGAGCGCTGCCTAACGCCAGAGCAGGCGACCTGCGAAGCGACCATCTCGCGTGTATCATGTGCCCGGAGCGTCTCTTAAAACGGTGGCAATCAGTTCGTCGAACGACGTTTCATCGACAGATCGTTTATTCGACACGCGATGTTTCATCCACACATTGTTTTGTCGGCAAATCGTTTCATCAACAGCCCAGATTATCTTTTTTCTGTAGTAAGCTTCATGAGACTCGCCGCGAGGCGGCGTTAACGAAGGGGGCTGACGCACGCCCCAGTGATACACGCGTCACGAGAAATGTCCCTACAGCGTGCGATTCGCGTACCGAGTTTCGATGAACCGTTCATGTCGGCGAAACCTGGGTCCATGAAAAGCTGTCTACGAAGCGTAATTCAACAGAACAAGTTTCGACAAAACGGTAGGGACCCTTTTCAAAACTACGATGACCCCAGCAAAGCGAAACAACGTGCAACTATAACATTTCTAGTTTTCCTAGGAATGTGCAAACAGCAACACTTTTCGCGCCTACACTCTAAAAAAATCCCTCGCGTCTACTTTCCCGCACAACACTCTGAGAGCCAATCACCGCAACGTACAGAGACAGCTCAGCAAATGGCGATGCCGAAACATATGTCGAGACCAAAAAACGCAGACTGAGTTGTGACATTAAGCAAGGCAAGCGTGACGTTTTGCATTGCTTAATGTCACAACTCAGACTGCGTTTTTTAGTCTAAACGCATGTTTGGGCATCGTCATTCGTTGAGCTGCCTCCGTAAGTTGCGGTGATTGGCCCTCCAAGCGTTGTGCCGGATAGTAGACGCACTTGCTTTTTTCAGAGTGTAGTTACTATAGCAACCGTTGCTGACGTTGTGGACGAGTGTTGTAGACAAGTGAGTTACTAATATCCTCACATGTGTCGAGTGTCTCTCCATATTTATATTTACTCGACATATTCCCGTTCATTTAATGTCAAAGAGAGTTTGAGAAACGCGCATGTGCTGCGAGTCCCGAGCAATATATTATCGGAGCCAATCAGGTCCCGGCATTAGCTGCTAAGACTGCCCAAGAACGAAGCGCGAAGATAATACTTGCCACGTCCGGAATTTTTAAGTGACTCTATTCACCGAGGAACTGAGGGAGTGGAGGAGACGAAAGAGGACGGTCAGAACGCCGAGCCCTTGCCGGAATGAGTAGTCGGTAGACCTCCAGCTATTTGGCTCCACTGCATGCGCTCGGCGACCGCGTTCGAATGCCGGAGCCGCACGTCGGCGCGTTCTAACCCACTAGTCATTCCAACCAGGGCTCGGCGTCATGACGTCCTCTGTCGTCTTTCCCTCAGTTTCTCGGAGCACAGAAGATGTCAACTGTTCTTCGATATTTCTTCAAATAACTGCAGATGTGAGATAGCCATTTCAAAATATAACCACCCCCCCCTTCCCCCCCCCCCCCCCCCCAGCTATTGCATTCTCATTAAAAAAAATACGCCCTAGGGATAGAATACACGAATACACGTTAACATCTCAGAAGAACAGGAATAAAGTGAACGGCCCTTGGTATTGCAGTCACAACTCCCCTCTCTTTTACAGGAGACGTTTTGGATTTGGGCTTCAAAATTATCTAAATGTTTGCGTAAACTAGGCTTTAAGGGTTTTTTGTTTTGTTATTTGTTTATTTCCACATTCAGACAAAGAGGCCTATTTTATGTTAACTTCCTAGGCTATACTCGACTTGTGAGTTTACGATTTTTATTGTAGATTAAAGTTTCTACTTGCATGCATATCTCTCCAAAATGCAAGGCTGTCTTTCTAGTGGAATATGCCGCAGCTGGCATCTGGTTGTCTTTGGGCACATTTCAAGCGCTCACTGACAGGTTACTGTATAACAACTCCAACCGCCTTTATTGCAAACAAACAACCATTTATTTCCGTCACACGGTACTCCACGAAATATATAGAAGATACAGTGCAGCGGAAAAATAATTTACTAGCGATAGACGTACGTATCTGAGACGTTTAACCAAAGATAAAACATTAACTTCAATATACTCGTTCATGTTTAAACAGAGCTGTCGAGTTTCAGTGCTGCTACATGTTGCTAGTACTCTTTGCCGCAGTACACCAACTGGCCCTGCTGATGGCAGATACGATAAGTATTTGTTATTTGGCGGAAGTATATCTGCTGAAGCAACACTTTTCACGATCACTTTTATCTCACGGTTTCGCAGCTGATTGGTTCCCATCTGACGTACTACCATAGCTAAACGCCTACATTCTCGCGTTGTCCGCGTTGAGCACTGGGACCTGGAGCACACCCGGTTCAGATCCTCGCACTCGAGGAAAATCCCTGCCCAAGCCTCAAATTTTCCAACTCAAGCCCTGACAAATCCAATGCATCGTTAGATGAGCTCACAGCCAACGAGTGTTGTTCCCAACGTTGTTGGGCGTTCCAAAAGAACCCTAAGCTCTATAATATATAACTTAAATTATTCATTTACTACAAATTTGTGTTTTAAGAATGTAATATTGCAATGCAAACCAACATTGCTTCAGTTTTTTTCTTCTTTTGGCTTACCGCTAGTGCGCTTGAAAACGCGTTCCCATTTTTTTTTTTCAGACACAACTCGGGTGCCTGGCGCTGCTGTGCGGCGTCTCCATGGTCTTCTCGCAAGGCTATGGCGGCGGTGGCGGTGGTGGCTACGGCGGTGGAGGGGCCGGAGGCGGCTATGGAGGCGCCGGGGCTGGCGCCGGCGTCTCTTACGGAGGAGCCGGAGGAGGAGGTGGAGGCTATGGTGGAGGAGGCGACGGCGGCTACGGAGGAGGCGACGGCGGCTACGGAGGATCCGGCGGTGCAGCAGCTGGCATCTACGACGCCCCCGCCGGCGGCGGCAGTTACGGCGGCGCTGGCTACGGCGGAGCTGGAGCTGGTTACGGCGGCGCCGCTGGCGGAGGCGGTGCCGACTACGGTGCCGCCACTGGCGGAGGGGCAGCCTATGCCGGCGGCGCCGGAGGAGGCGCCGGATACGGTGCCGCGGGCAACCCTTACGGCGGAGCCTTCGACTTCACCAACAACGTCAACCACGCCGTAGCCTCCCCGTCAGCCGGTGGATACGGAAGCGCTACTGAGGGTGCGGCCTACGGAGCGGGCGGAGCAGGTGGTGGAGCGGGTGCCTACGGCGGCGGCGCCGGTGGTTACGGCGGGGCCGGCGGAGCGAGCGCTGGAGGCTACGGCGGAGGAGCTGGTCTCGTCGCCGGTGGCTATGGGGGAGGCGCCGGGGGATACGGAGGGTGAGTTGTCCCCCCGCGAGTGTGCATCTCGTGAACCCTCGGAAGTGGTGCAAGGGCTGGGTGAGAACCCGATTATTGATAAGGGCTTCGGAAGTCCATATGCTGCGCTGCTTGCACGTACGACTTCTTGCAGTCATACCTGCAAGAGCGTGCGTTTTATAAAACTTAATTACCTAAAAAAAAGATTTGAAGCGATCATTGTTTGCTCAACATGCTGAAGTTGTATTCGGACATTTTAAAGATAGCAGACTGCAGTGGCACTCACTACATTGCTGAGGGGAGTAGTTATACACGCAAATTGGTAGTTCTAGCTCAAGAGGCTTAACGGATTCTTGGCAAAAAGGAAAAGAAGAGACACTGAGGCAGGGCAGTAGAAACAAAATAAAGACTTGTGTGGATTGGGTTTGAAGAAAGTGGCGCATTGGAAACTACCCACAATTATAGCCGATTTGACGTTCCGGTACCGGTCAGAGTGTTCAACGGCATTCGATGCGCTCCGGCCACGCATGGTCATCGAAATTGTTGACTAATGTCGTGGACGGCCGTTCGTCATGTATGGTTAGCGTGGCGAGAAAGAGAACAACAATTGTTTCCCGATCTAAAATTTTATCGCTATTAATAACGAATGACGAAGAGAAAGTTTACCCCGGCAGGATCCTCATTGCTAATTTTTGGCAGATACATATATTTTCTTCATCATGGCGATCTACGGTGCATAGGCCGTCAAAATAATTGCGCTCTGCAAGCTTTTCTTCTTGTCTACTGAGCAGTGAAATGCGTTCTGACCAGTAGCTCTCTTCTGCGAAATATCACACGTCGCGCGTGCGTCAACTGCCCAGTTACTCGTCATTTCTCGCCAGGGTGATACTCCCTTGAAAGCTGTATAGAGAGTGCGCGCAGGAATTGTCAAAGCGCCGAACGAAGTATTCCTCCCCCTCTCGCCCAACAGAGCCGGAGGCTACGGCGGCGGCGGCGGTCAGGTGCAGGCGGCCCCCGGAGGCTACGGAGGGGGGGCTCAGGCCGGCGGCTACTAAGGCCGGCTCGGATGCACCTCCGCGGGAAAGGGGCGCCCGGACCAAAGTTGCGCGGCTGCGGTGAGCCACGAGGAACTTCGAAACGCGCACTCCTGGAGTGGCGTGGCTGGATCAGCACTCGAGCGTGGCGTTTTGGAAGATGGTGGCACTATTGTTGGGAGTGTACGGCGCCGAGCCGTTCTGTTCGAGGGCGCACGACACTATGCTATAGATGGAGCGCCACCAACTCTTGCGTTTAAACGAGCGCACCCGCATGTACCGGTTTTTAGAAGTGCGTCGACGCATGTTTCATTGTTCCGCAGGCAGCTGCACCGCCTTTACTGGACGTCCGAAGCATGAGTCGGTAGGCTGGAAACGGTTGAGTATCCATTCTTTGAGGTAAATGCTTCTCAAAAAAGAAGAAGCTCGTTAAATGCGCAAACTTGTTTTGGACTCTGTGTGTGCTCGGATGAGAAAAGAGAGCTCCGTGACTAGAACTTGTAAATTTTAGTTAGGCTGTAATTTGTTGCAATCATTCTTTTTGTAACAAATGCAACTGAGAGGGAAATTCCTCCTTGGAAAAGAAAGCTTTCCTTATGTAGTTTGGTGGCGCTCCCATTAGCGACTCAGTCGAAAACTCCCGAACTCGGTGAGCCGTAAAAAAAGTGTTTAAGAAACAAAAATAGCAGATTTGATATGGATCAGTTTTCTGTGGAGAAGTTAAATTATCTTGCTATCTAAACGTCCTCTTCACATGCGACTGATTAAAAAAAAAAGACAAAGATACATCCCACATAAATATATATCTGCTCAAGTGAGTTTCAATTGTTACAGAAAAGTGCGTGCTAATGTACCACAGTAATAAAGAATCTTATTTCTTTCATAATTGCTTCGTGTCCTTTTTTTGTCACACCACCTCTGACATATTATTTTTATATCTATTTTCATAAGTTTCGTTGCAAAATATTTTCTAGATGTTTGCGCAGTGCGAAGTCCCTGCACTTAAAAACTAGGATTAGTGCTTCATTCTTCAGGGCAGTGTGTCCCTGGGAATTTTGTTTTGAAACGATAATAGCCTTATTATAAATAACACTTCAAACCTGATGTGTTATGGGGCACTCTGTGCAGTTCAAACCCCTTCAGCCCATCAAACCTCTCAGCCACACTGAAACCTCCTCAGCCCTTCAACCCTTTAGACACCCAAATGAGTGAACCATAGACCAAAAATGCAGTTTAAAACGTCATTGAAAGTTTTCCGGCACTGAGTTTTACATCCATATAACTCAAATGCGCCTGCAGACAGGTGTACACAAAATATAGCAGACTAAATAGAAACAGCCGAGTTCTTTGTCGCAAAAAAATACCTTTCGAGGAACTCGCAAACACAATACAAGAAACAACAGCAAACTCCACAACACACCACATAAGTTTTGATCACGCTTCGCGCGCATGACCGTGACAAGCCAGTGAAAGTTGGCGGCGTACTCCAAATCTAGGCGTGACACAGCAGGATCACAAGGAAAACCTTTGGAACCACTCAAACGGACTCGACAGCGCTTGAAACCAAAAAGGGGTAGGTGATAGGAATGATACTCCCGCTGATCGCGAGCCACAAACTAGACGCCAGCCCGAATCTCCTGCACATAAAGGGGAGGACGCCAGGAAGTCGAGGCACTAGGTGAAGTTCGACGGCCGTGCGGGGTGGAACGGAGCGGGTGACCGGGGCCGACGGAGCCGATTGTGTACAACTCCATGGAGTACGCTCGAGACGTAGCTGGCGGTGGCCGAGATTGTGCTCCGTGAGTTGACGGCGACTGCGCTGGCGTCAGTAGCCATCCTTTCGAGTCTCAGACTCCCGAACGGCCCTTCGCCACCTCCAAAGCTTGACGATACGCCAACGCTCGCCCGGACAGTGGCGTCCCTCGCAGCCGATCGTCAATTTTCCTAGGGTCCCCGCACACTGCAGGATTTCTATAAACGAGGACGCCAGTCATTTGGTGAAGCTGGTACATGTGGACACCGCATGCTACCATCGTGAAAACAGCGACAGCACTCGTCGACGACGACTTTGACAAGCTCGCGTCGCTAGCTCTGCTTGAGCGGGCTTTAGGCACTTTAAGCAGCTAGGAAGAAATAGGCCCACCTGGCCGGCGACTCGCCGGATGAGACTTCCTCTTCTCGCACACTCACTGAATACCTGGAACACACGTAACTCCTGTCTAAGCTGTAATGATGAGCATTTGGTCAAAACCAGAAACACATAAATTTGAAGAAGGACTCTCCCAAACTCCCGGTTCGTAAATCCACCAGCTCGAAACAGAGAAGCGACCTTCCTTTCTTGCCGAGCCGCCGAACTCTGCCAGAGACACGGAGCAAAGTACGCATGCGCTGTGCGGCACATATTGGGCGGTGCCTTGCTCCACCTGCCAGTGTGCGCGTGCAGCGGCGCGGCGTGTTTTGCTAACGTCCTCCGAACTGTCTGCTGGGTGGCGTAATTAATTTTCAGGCGAAGTTGAGCTTACTATACGGCGTACTCGCTTAAGAGTCGCAATTATAAATACAAGGGAAGCCGACATATGCCGTTGACAGGAAGCTGCAAACCAAGAGTTGCCAGTTGGCGCTGAGTGAGTGTTTCTTTTCGTTGTATGTTTTTGTCCTTGGAGTCATTGTCTTTCAGGTGAGCTGTTACATTGAACATCATGACGACAAGTTGATCGGACGTCCAACGAAGAGAGGCACCGTGCTTTGCCCAACGCCAAATAGTGCAACCATAAAATATATCAACACGCCTGTGCAGCAACCTTCGTCGCAATTGGGTTCAAACGCGTCACCGCCACCTCAGGGTTAATTTCGAACATACCTAAAGCCAAGCACTTTCACAAAAAGCTGGCAACCAAAATAATAAAAAAAAAAAACACTACATACACCCTGACCCATGTATCCTGATCCTCTCACAGACCGATTAAGACGATTTTGACGGGTGCCGTGTAAAGATTGGTACAGACTCCACGTGCCTCTAAATAAAACTATGACGGGTGTTTCCACCCTTTAGAAATTCTTGATTTTCTAAAGGGTGCCCTTTAGGAAACTTGGACGAATATCTCAGACCCCTTAACAATTTTCGAAGGGTACGTCAAAACATTTCCGAAATCCTGGTGGGCCCCATAGACGCGTTTTCCATAGGGAGCTGCTCGTAGTCCATTTGCATTACTCCCTCTTGGAACGAATGCTTCCTCCTCTGCAAAGTGCCTCATTGCTCCCTACCGCGGAGCCTGAGACGTCTCTCAAGTGCGTTTGTTCCACGTGTTGGGGAGTCTTTGTCCTCTACTCGGAAAGGAATAATACGAAATGTTTGGAAGCAACTTCCTAAATTGAGGAGTAACGTTTGTCTCTTTGGGGGTCAAGTTTAAACCTTCGACGCAGGAAATTCATAGCGATGAAATTACAACTCTTAAAAGGCTCTTCACAAACGTCAGCGCCGCGTAGCGCTGGACACGTGAACCACTGGCGTCCCCCAGTGCTTGCTCATCCTTTCAACGGGAGTTCGCACAAGTGCGCAGATGGTCGTGAATAGAATACGTTTAAAAATGTAAATTCTAAAAAAAACGACTGTTTTTAAGAAATGTTTCTTTTCTTATTTTCTGGTGTCAGAAACGAGCAAAACGTTTTCACAAATTAAAATCATATTTTATATTATCTACAATTGACTCCGTGTGACGTCATAGGTCCAAACAAACCGTTGCTAGGCTCGTTGTTATGGACAAACACAAGGTTTCGCTACGAAAACCCGACCGTTCAAAAATCAGGAGTAGGATTTAAACGTCTAAAAATCACAGATATAGAAAGCTCGAATGTCATATATGTTTCGACAAAGTGTGCCGGTAATCGCTGGTTTCTGAAATATTTACGACTGCAACTTCCGGTCCTCGAGATGCCTGTAGCAGACGACGAATGCAAGAAATATGCCGCCTGCCACACGCTCGCCGGCCAAGCCGGCGCCGTTGTTTGAATCGTGTGAATAAAGACGATATTTTGATATTGCTTCAAAATATCGTCTTTTTAGACGATATTTTGACAATTATAAGAATTCATAGTGGAGTACGATGCAAAATATGATTTATCGAAAGTCCGGGTGTCGATCGAGATGATCGTCTGCTAAAAGATCGCATTGCACCCGTGAGAAAAGCACTTGAGGCGATCGGTTGAGATCTCAAACTTTGTTCGCGGACTCGTGCAATGGGAGCAATGGGACGCTGCTTCGTACCTGGTTGTAACCATCGCGTGGAAAAAAAAAATTCTTGCAGTTTTTCAGATTTCCGATTCAGATTATTTTCAGAAAACATAAGGTGAGTTTATTACTAATTGCACTCGCATCGCGGGTTTGATGGAGATCTTCACCAAAAAAGCACATCCACGGAATTTGATGCATACTAAGGGGTGAAAAAAGAAAATACTGCGAATTCGCGATAGACATACAATTCTTTAATAACCTGAAAAAGTCAATAAAAATATTAGCGAACGACTTCCCCCGATGGCGTACGATTTGTTTTTCATGCCGGCCTGCACTACGCCGGTAATGCACTTCAGGTCGTCGTCGTAACTGATCTGCACGACGTGGTTTGATTTTACGGCATTTTCACCCCTCTGAACTAAGGTGGGTTCTTCACAGAAAAAAAAAAGAAGCACATTGCGGAGGCCTCTACGGCCATGGCGATGAACTTGTTTTTGTCGCTCGTTCACCGACGCAATTCAATGAAGACGCCCGCTGCAACAGAGGCCAGCTAATCTATAGTGTCGTCTGCTACCAAAGCAAAGCGGAGTGTAATACTTCAGAAATGGCTTTAATCGTTGCACTACGACACTGAGACCACAGGAACACCTTCATAATTAGAAATCAACAAGTTAGGTTGCTTACAAGAAATTATTTACTTCTAAGCAAAAATCTAGCCTCATGTGAAGTTGTCATGGGTTAGTCCATAGCAACGTCTCCAGATAAGGTTTGTTTGGACCCAGACGCCATTTTGTGACGTAGTCACTTACGGCGTCAACACCGCTACTTCCGTGCAGTTTCATTTGGAATTGAGGAGCCACAATCAGCATCGGCATTTTGAAATGGCGTGGGTTAGTTGTGGCCTCGGACGGAACCTATACTGAACTGGTGGCGTGTGGCGTTGTGGCAACGTTTGGTTGTGGCACGTCTGAGGACTTCGTAACTGCACAGTCGGTTCAGTTAGCTTGCATGTCTGTCCTACACCGTTCCGGGACGTCAACCGGCGTTCGTGATGCCTCCATGCTCTTCGTTGCTTGCCCTTCTGCAGCCGGAGCGGCATAAGAGGCGCGCTTGGAATAAAGGTGCGTATGCTAGCTTTTATGGAAAAAAAAATCGAGTTCATATTGACCGATGGCCTTCACGATATGCGCGCTTTGCCTTTCTGCGGCACTCCTGACCTGAAATAAATATAGCATATAACGTCTTTAGTCACCGATAAGATCTCTCCGTCGTAAACAGCGGTACATTTTTATTTTCACGAGTTCAAATGGCTTATGGAAATGAGTTGATTTTTGCATCTTCGGCGTGGTATGACAGTATAAATATGAACTATAGTTAGCGCTGAATTCGGAAACCTGATGACCATCTTATTTTTGCTGCCGACCGATCCACGGTAAGGACCGCAACGTCGGTAGTTGGAGCGTGCTTCAACTTGACTTGCTTTTTTGGACTGCTAAATGCTATGATGAGCGCACTCTATTTGGTCTTAGAGTACATTATGTAAGCAGTTTTGTAATGTGGTTGTTGACAGGTATCTCTAAACGTCAATATTTTTGTAGGTATCGTTCCTGGGGTTCTCAAGTGATCCAGGTTTGAAAAAGAAGTTGATTATA